GATATATAATACAAAAGTTTATTAACAATCAGAGTAGATTACAATACAATTACAATCACAATGTACTCCCAATGAAAAACAAAGCTATATAACACAATTTGAAATCATCAGTAGGTACATGCGGTCTCGCCTGCCGAAATCAAGTATGACTTCTTCTCGCTGCAGAATCTTACTAACAAGCTCGTTGACACGTTCACAGTCACATCAATCTGCGGACAAAAAATGCATATATAAACAGCTGATTCAAAAATGTATTCGTTAGAGCAGATTAGTTCTGGGTATATGTTACCTAAATAGAGACAAATTCACGAATATCGTTTCAAACAAATATTTTATCGATCTCATGAATGATCACAATTGAATTATTCAATCAGTTTTGATGACACTTTCTCAATTAGGATTCATAATACCTAATTTGGAAAAAATGTGATCAATGATGATTCAATTTACTCATTTCTGATTTGAAATACTCTTATTTGAATAATTTTCAGTCACTATTGAATGAAAAGCAAACACACGAACATGGCCGTGCATGCGGCTGTGAAAGTCATCAACGGCGATATGGACTATTCAACAGAAGAATGCGTATATTGATTTATCTGAACGTCAAGGTAATCGGATATAAATCAACACTATATATACAATACAATTCTTGAAAAATCACACCATCCAAATGAATATTTGAATTATTTGATACAATTCACGATCATGAGCCATGTTGTTGAAAGCCATCATGTATTTTACGAAATCAAACTCACCCGCAGTATATAGGTATTCCCAAACTTCACAGATATAATCATGCTGATAACATGTTTGTGCTCGAACTTGCAGCAAGTACTTCTATTCAATTATAATTCACTTCGCTGAAATGGAAAGCACAGGATTGTTTTTATGCACTTAACTTCCATCAAGACTGATGCTGCGTTATCAATTGGACGTGCCTCTGGTTAGTCTCAACCTGGCTCGAGTCTTCCTCGCTGATGAACACAGAGATTCGGACATTCCTTTACTTCATTATGAATAATTAAAATATATAATATTGTGGTGACTTAGAACGGTCATCACGTTATTCCCAAATACACTGTTCACTGCTTGCACGTTGAGAAGGGACTGAGACAGTGAGATTACTGAGATGCTAACAATATACTGCGCATGGACCAGCCCTTTCACCAATTATTTGATGAAATCGCTCGAGAATGAGTGATTCTCACATGTTTCATTTAATGATTGAGTAAAAGCCACTCTAATATGGTTTCCTTGTTTGTTTTATTCCAAAATTTGTGCTATTCAATCAAATTTGTCATAAACATTGTCATTATTGGAAGGAATTGTGAAAATACCCAGATTTCATTGAATATTTACTCAAAAAGTTCACTCAGTAGATTAACTCATTACCAAATTCGCAGTCACTCAAAAGGATTTGTTACAGTGTACTGTCTTCGAAGACGAAATAATGCAAAAAGTCAAATTTGGTGTGATGCACCGTTGATGTGTTAAGAATTGTCTAAATTGTCATTTTTTTCATACTCTGCTCTCGCTGTATGGGTACCTATATTTTTGTTATTTATTCCATGAAATTCAGTTTTGAAACTCCATCTACTATACTCTCAGAGGGAGTCAATATCAATCGGCAACAAAAAGGAGGGTAGAATAGCGAAACCATCAACATCAAAAATGACACAGTTACTAACCAAATGTAGACAATGATTGGTGACCTGATCGATGACAATGAACTGAGGGCATATCGAATTCAATTCGAAAGGGATACACGAGGGTGATATTCGCCCCCTGTTCTGCAATTACATAACGTTCAGAGTCATATTAGCAGGGTAAATGAATTCAACAGGGGCTGGAACAAAGTTTCGTCCTTTAATGTTGGTAACACAGCATTGGGCACAAAGAGACAAAGTCACGCCTTTCGAAGAAGCAGATGTTCAATTTAAAAACAGCTGCTGGCTACCGTTTTTGCCACCATTCAGAGTGCTCATTCATTTATTTCGGACAAAAAAGAATGGCGAAATTTAGGGGACTGTGGTAATGATGACATTTAATTGCATTTTTTGCCTCATATAAGAATTCACAGAAATTAGGCGTGCCAATTTGATTTTAATATTCCAAAATGGTAGAAAAACTGTTGGTTGGTATTATATTTCGGTTTTTTGTTCCATTCACTTCATGTGAAATGATGTGAATTATCTGATCGGAAATATTGTGTTAAAGGGTAAACAGCTATTATACTCATATCGAGCAATCAAACATACACTACTAATAGAATTTTTGTTACATCAGATAAAGAACAGCAGAACGAATGACCCAGTTCCCAGTTGAACAGGCTTTGTCTCAGCTCTATCACAATAAGTCAGTTGAAAAATTTTGTTTCATCGCAACTCTGAGAAAAATGTGATAAAAGTGAGGCATCCTAGGCGTCACAAACGGGCTCAATCAGAGAACTTTGTTTAATTACAACATTTGTGATCAACAATCTAAGGCATATCCCAGACAGCACAGGATACTCTATGAATATTCTAACAATAACGTTTGAATATACTTATATCAGAATATGCTGATAGAATGTTCTCAGAATGATCATAAAATATTCTCATACTGCATCAGCAAATATTCTATGAGCAAATCATATCAAAATGTGGTATTGATGATATTCTTGTATCAATATATACCCATTATTCTCTAGGGTCATCAGTGTTACTCATCCAACTAATGAAATGTAGTCATCTTGCTATCCATATTATTCATCAATGAGGTTTGTAGTGCAGTGGAAAATGAAGTAAGTGAAAATTCAATCACAAGAGAGTATATATCATAGGTTCGCATCTCCACCAGAGCAAGCTTTTCTCAATATCCTTCCTTCTCCTTCAATATACCAGGAATAATAAGAATATTGAAAACACTTTATTCCGAATGTTTATTGAACGTACGTCCCTAGAATATTTGTCATATTGTGAAGACTATTCTGAGAATATTCGAATATTTTTTGGAGAATATCCTAGGAAATTGCTACAACACATTATTTCATCACACGTGATAAAATTAAGCAGGCATTCTATGCGTCATAAACGGGCTCGATCAAAAGAACTTTTTCACTATTCCATCACACACGTTCTATTACGAGATAAAATTGACTCACCCGTGGTCTTATAAGAAAAAACTTTGTTAAATTTCAACACAAAATTCTTCAGTTAAAAAAAAAGCGTTTTCTTCAAATGGTCAAGATAACGATGCAAAAGAAAACTCTTTGTACTTTTGACATAGATTCTTTTGAGAAAGGTTTCGGAATATTTATATTCCTTCGTCGGTCTCTTTGAGATTGAATGTACAATCATTATATATTTAAAAAAAAATGGGAATTTCAAATTACTTACATGTTAAATATTGTCATTCTGACAAAGGAATAAAAATATTCCGAAAAGCTTTCTCAAAATTAATGAGAGTTTTATCTTTAGTCTCATATTAGCTGCATCCTCACAAATTCTATAATATTTTGATTGGTACAGCTACTAATATAATTAAACATATATATAGGTATACAAAAGGTCAGGATAGGTATAAGTTTTTTTGAATGTTTGTTCAAAAATGTTCAGGTAGATTGTAAAATGTTGAATAGAATAAAGATTTTTATAATTCGAATGAAAGTTTCAATTTTCTCCTGATGAAGTTAGCGGAACACGTGTCGAGTTTAAAAAATCGGTCCAATCTTCGATATATGAAAGTTTTAGTCTCATGAAACGCTATATACATAGCTCTTAGTCTTATCATAGATTAACGACTCCGGGGAGTCGTTAATCTATGGTCTTATTAAGAATTGATCTTCAGCGTTTTATTTGTTTTTCAATTGGACTGTTCATAAAAACTCCTTTTTATAAAAGACTGGACCATGATGTATAACAAGATGACTTTCGTGCAAAATAAGTTGAAAATAATGAATACTCCGACAAGAAACTGACCTTTTTATTACGTGAGTAATTCAACATACAGTCCGTCCCTTATAAAAAGAAGACATTATAATGTTAGAAAAATGCATTTTACTTTATTCGTTGGGATTTTCTCTCCTCGTTTCTATAAAATAAAAATATTCGTATTAATTCAATATATTTGTTGTGGGACAAGTAAAATGAATGTACCACCTCCTCGATTAACCTACAGACCTAGAAAAATGATTTATTGAAAAAATAATGTTATCTTAGGAAACTACTGTGTATAGTATTGCTTGCACTGATAATTATTGCGAAACGTTATGTAGTTATTTCACCGGTTCAGGATTCTTTATAGGTTTTATTTTACACTATAAGAACTTCAAACTTTACATCTTCATTAAAATGTCATTACTTTCGTAAGTTTCTTGAAGGGTCCGTAGTTTATCATAATTTATACTGATGCTTGACCACTATTTTTATTAATTCAAAGTAAGTTTGTTTCATGTCGAACACTCACCTATTATCCATATATTTCGTTAAATTTCGAAGGAATATTATCATGAGCTGTCTAAAATTATGGAACAAAAAAATGTCACACTGACTGCTCATGGCCTTTAGTTGATTCTGAGACATCATCGATGGTGCCACGTTCAATGACTCAATAGAAAATGTGAGTAAGAATATCCATCAGAAAAGAAAAAACAATATATATACATATATAGGTATCGGAAATGTTATTGAAAAAAAAAGTTGACAGTCGTTAGAGTTGAAATTGGAAAAAGAAATGGTTGGTGCCACCTTGAATAATCTGATATTTTATTTGCATTCAGTTTTTCTAAATCGATTAATCAATAGCGAAGCTTCTTTGTCAGCCAGCCAGAATAAATAGTAAATCGCTTCTTCAATAAAATACAGTATCGGCATATGAAAAGCATCGTTTATACTTATTCGTTGAAGCGAATTTTGCTCTCGTTCATTTATGATGGATATATGATGAATAATATGTAACCATTTGTGATGAAAAATCAATGAAAATTCAGGAGAATGAATATTATCATTGTTGCTTACCTGATGGATCTGATAACTGATGGAGCCAGTGATGCCTCGAATTAAACGACATGTCTTGATGAGGTGAGTACATCGACGTATCTGTCGTGATGGGATCTATGTCTTCATTGGTTTGTCTGTCTAGCTCTAGAATATCACTAATGGCAAACCCTGATTGTGGTTGCCTTTGACTTGCCATAGTCGATCCCGTCATCTTCATGCTATCGAGAAGCCTGTAATGAGAAATGAATGAATTATAATTTTTGTTAGATTATGCTTTTAAATGTATGTACATCTTTTTTTCAATTTCGTGACTTTTCATTGTATATATAGTGAACTTCTCTTGGTTATGCGCGAGGTCAGGCTATGAAGATAACTATATGTAAGTATAAGTAGATTGAAACCTGATGTGGACACGACTCATTAGAGAGTTTATTTCTCAATAACTTTGTACGTTCTTAATAATTGCTGCCAGGATGGATCTTTTCCAAGAAAATTAAAGTGTGCAAAAGTTTTCCTTCTGTTTATAAAAACGCGACCACTATTCAACCTCATGGTTTTACATATCTGCAGATATCAATTTTACTTGCTATCTCGAAAGTCTTCGAAGGACTTCCTTATTGAAGTTTTCACTGATCGAAGATCAAGACAAGATCAAGGCGAGAAGTAATTTTAGATTTCAAGACAAGACAAGAAATTTTATGTCAATACCAAGATTTCTTGTCAAGAAAACAAGAAATCTTAAAATTTCTTGACTAAGAATGAAAACGTTAAAACGTGCGTTTATCACTCATGATGAAATAAGGTATAATATCAATATAATGTACTTTTTTCCACCACTTCACAAACTGGCATCATTGCAAGTGCGCGCGACGTCGACGTCGTTTGCTTTGGTCAGAAAAAGAAGATAAAGATCTGGGAACCACCAGAATGCCGTGTTAGCACGCAACAGGGTTGCCAGTTCTATACTGAATTTTCAGGAAATCTACTGACTTGCATATTGATCTACTGATCTACCTGGATCTACTGAAACATTCATAATCTACTGAAAATAATTATGACACTCAATAATCATTATGACCACCTATTAATATTGATCTTTAGTTAATCACATGCATAGACTCAAAAAATCTTGAGTGATATTTGGGCACGCCCTATAAATAAATTTTCTGGCGCCATTGATTATATATAAATTCGAATGCGTAGGTATGAGCGCTTGATATGTTAGTAAAAAAATACTCACTATTTTCGCTGGAAAAAAGTAATTTTATGAAAAGTGGCATTTTGTTTCCTGTCAACATATAGAAAAAATGTCGAACTTTCCGTCACAGAAAAATATATATTTTTTGGACGTCATCGGTCCATTTCATTATCCTGAAATTTTTATAGCATGAAATAAATCTACTAAAATGTACTGAATTCCTGCTGATGAAATAAAAATCTAGATGGCAACCCTGGCACGTCACGCAATAAAAAGTTCGCCGAGAAATCACCATGTAGTTGTCACCAGTCAGTCAAGTAATTTCAAGATCTTGATGGAATTCCTTGAGTCAGATATGTCAAGAAAAACTTCAAAACAAGATTTTTCGAAATTTCTTGACTTTTTCTCAAGACAAGACAAGAAGTTGTTATCAAGACAAGAATTCTTGTCTTGGCGACCCCTAATCGTTTTCAAATTACCACCCTGTATATACCATCAGCTCTCCCCAGTGGATTGTTTGGAGTTCGTTTTTTTTTTCTTATATTTTGTCGAAATCAGTTCTTCACTTCAAGCACGAAACATTAAAAGATGAATCATGAATAATGAACAACGCAATTCTATAGGAATCGTCCATCTACTGATATTCCCTATCGACAAAATTGATTCCACAAAGCGAAAAGTGTCCCATTCGGGTCTTCTCAATGGGAAACAGGAAGCAAGCAGTTTAACTTTCCTCTTCCATTGAAAAAGCTCCATAGTGGTGTAAATGAGCTTGAACTGTGAAAGAGACCTGACTATTTCACCTTCACGGACCCGATACTCTCACAGGTGACAAGTGACAATCGAGGTAAATCCCGAGGAATCGCAGTAAGTCACGTCCGAGCAATTTAGAATGCCATAAACAGGTGTCCTTTAACCACTTCTCTCGGACAATGTACACTTGTAGTTTTGATGGGCTTAGGATAATTTTGTTTGACGGAGAAGTTCATTCCTGACCGTGCTTTTAATTTCGTTGTAATTCAATAAAGTGCGGGTTTTTCCAAATTAACAAACAGGGTAGGTAGGTGTATTACCTAAACTGTTTACCTGTTGCTGTGGGTTTTTTCACACATTATTACAGGTATATTACTGATCTATACCTATTCACGATTGCAATAAATTTTAATTTCAAATATTTCAAATTATTGTTGTGATATTTAGCCTTATATTGGTGTAGGAATAAAGATTGATATATTTAGGTCGTTCAAAAATTTCATAGCAGATTTGTTACCATTTTTGAGACATTGGCATTCTGAGATATTCTTCGAAATAGATATGAGGTTGGAATAAGTGAACGTCAATATATATACCTCATGATGAGAATTATCGAAGGTAATACCACGAGCCCTATACTAATATTATCGATAATTTTTTTTATTTCCTACGAAAACATGTTTATTTAGCAAATTATGAGGCCGGCGTAGGACGAGTGATTTTATCTAATTTGCAGGGGATTCATTAATGAAATTTCAGATTTTTTTGAAAAGATGAGAGTTATTCGAAAAAAAAGCGTCTACTATATCAGCTATTCGAAAGCAATTATATACTCCATGAAGGTTATACATACTTATAGATATAGTTATAATTATATAGAATGCTGGGTATATCATAACGAGTGAGAACATAGCATATATTCCTTGCGAGTATTACACCATCATAATTATATTCCTTCGGCTTTAACATACCTATATCTAAATGACTAGATAGAACAGAAATAACATGAAATTCAGATTTAATGTCGTTCAAAAACAGTGATCTGTTATCAGAAGACATTTCAAAGAAGACGTGATATAGATTGTATTATATAATAATAACCATAATTACTGCGTAACACAATAATACCTATTAGTATTTTATGATCGTTTCATACACTAATCTTTCTACGACCAATAAATAATTGAAGAAAAATATGTTCGTGATTGAATGTCAATTGAAAATATCGGAAAATATTGAAATTGAATGTCAAACAACTCAAGCAAGTGAGACAGAAGCATAATAGACCCACTAGATTATACCCAAGCACGTGTTCCTATATACTTATAGGCCGGAAATTCGCGTATTACGCTGATATTGTACCTAACACGGGAGTAGTGAAATTAATAGCTTTTTTTATGTTTCAGTCGCATTTATGATAAGGAAGTGCGAGAAATCACATAAAAATTCACCCAAAGTTGTATGTACCTACCAAAATTATTAAGTGGCCGTTTTTATTCACTCTTCTGAAATAAATAGGAGACGCCGCAAGCTGTTTCTCCGCCATAGTTTTGATGAAATTGTTCACACTTTCAAATTCGAAATAAATTTGCGTGACATCGTCGAATTTGGAGGGATGCTGAATGTTATGGGGAAATAAATTATAATTCTCATTCAAAAAAACTAGTTTTTTTCGAACCTTTAGTTTGTTGTTGAAACAATATATCTTTGTACCTATATCTATCTATAGTATTTCTTCGAGTATTTCTTAAACCAATGAATTTGCTTTTTGATCTTCTATAATCGGATGAAAAATAGTAACAGCTTGAAGCATTTTCCATAAGATATATGCCTCAATGAATATTTTCATCTCATCAAACTATTTCCATCAAACAAATCGTTGTTTTTATTGAATATTTGGACAATTCGTAGGTGCATGGTGTATCTCATGTGGATATAATCCGGCGTTTTTTGAATAATGACCTTGTGGTTAATTACGATAACATGGTGAAGCCAAATTATATCTAGATTTAACCAACCGGACTGCTAAAATTTGGTAGACATTTGGCCGAATGTTCGAATGCCGTGCGAGATATGAATACAATTATTTTGAAATTTCTGAAGAAGCTTCAATTCCTTTCAATCAAAGCAGGGTCGTATAAATCACATCATGTGATAGTCATGATGATATAAGTATTTATATCTCAGAGTTTCAATTTGAGCTTACATATACGGGACATGGATCTCTACATCGATATAACATATAACTGACGGAGAATATTGAGTTTATGAATTCTGGCATAGTGAATTAACATTTATGTGGAATCTGGACCTACTGGACAATGAAAAACAGCTCAACTACATCAAGCCCCAGGAAGCAGCGCCGGATCCCTGATCCCATGAATGAATGGCGGACATGCCAAGAACGCAATGATTTTGATGAAATTGTTCACAAATTTTATTCAGACTTTCATTTGAATGAAAATTGAAGAATTATTGTTTAAACCTTGCTTTTTGTTGTTCAAACAATCATTAGTTTGTGTATATATATATACCTACCTATATTTAGTATTTCTCAAAACCATTCTCTCAAAAACTAGCGGGCGTATTACAACTTCTGATGAAGATTATTACGCCTGAAGATAGTATAAACCAACAGGAGAAAAAAAAGGATCAATCCAGCCTCGCACTCAACAAAATTTGTAACGGCTGAAAAGCCAAAAGAACTTGACTATAAGTAAGTTCAGTATCGGGATAAAATGGAACAATTCATTTTTGGAAATGTACTCAATTGAGCTATAGCTTTTTTGTAACGACCGGATATTGAGATATTGTCAAGATGGTTTCTACATAAGAGGTATGTCAACTCTTTCTCAGCTACCATTTTGTTTTATATCTACACTACTTGTAATTTTCTATGTACTTTTTTCATTGTGTCTGAAGATGGCTGTAGAGCCGAAACCATAGTCACAAGCTGATTATCTTTATACCAACTATTGTCCACCGACTTTGAGTGCTTTTTTTTTCTCCTGTTGAAAAAATACTGGACCACTTTGAGAATGGATGGTTTCCATGACTTATATATTATAAACCTTTTTTTTGCAAATTCGCAGCTTTTTATTTTCCATAGTTTATGAACAATATATATAAACCTCGCAATAAGATATATTAGTAGGTAACTTTTCGATCTCTCGAAGCAGCTCTCATCAACGACCAAGCCCTATATAGGAAGCAGCGCCGGAGCCCACGAATGCAACAACAGAGGCGGCCATGCCAAAAAC